GAGTGTAGCCAACAGTGGGCTGAGCGACGGCTCGGACATGGATGGGCTGAACCTCTTGGACAGTCTGGTATTGGATGGGCTGGTATTGAATGGGTTGTGCCTCGACGTGTTGGTAAGCGACTTGTCTGACTTCTGGCACCTGAACGCGTTGTACAGCGAATTGCTGGACGGGTTGGACAGCAAACTGTTGGACGGGTTGAACGGCCACCTGTTGAACGGTCTGGATCTGCTGTTTGACAATGGGCTCAGCGACGTATTGTTGACGAACACCTGGACATTGATGGACATAATTAGTCTGCAATTCTTAATAATTCATTAGTGATGGCATACCCTCTCCGTGCGACACAACTGTGTGCACGTTCTCGACCACTGGTTGAACCTCTTGTGTCAACTGTCTGTAGGGTTGGATGACTTCGCGCACCTCTTGGATGACTGGCTTCACGACTTCGTGGATGACCTTCGATGGCTCGTCTTGAGACTGTGTCTGTTCAACAGATCCGGGCTCACCGGCGATGTGCTCCTGAGACAGACGCACAGTCGACGAGCGGGACTTGAAGTGAATGTTGATGGGCTGATCGCTCGGCTCCACAATCACGTCTTGGGCCTGAATTGGCTGATCATTGAAGGGAACGGCTCTGTATTCAAACAAATAGAGATCAGTATTAGTTTCTAAAAGTATAACAACTGTTGCCATCATTACATACCTGTACTCCACAGTTCTGCCGACCTGATGGATGGCAGCGCTGACGGGATGGATGTTCTGGTGTTGGTTGGTGTAGACCTGGGGTCGGACAGCGACTGAGGCCACTGACAGTTGGGGCTGAGCGAGGGTCAGAGCGGGTCGGGCGTAGGCCACGGTCTGGGGCTGTTCGACCTGAATGGTCTGATAGGTGGGCTGATGGACAGCGAATCTGTTCAGATTGCTGTATCCGTAAGGGATGTAACTGTACGGCGAAGGGGCGAAGTTTACCGATTGGTGACCCAAACCGCTATAACCACTCAAACCGGTCAAACCGCTCAGCGATCGGAATCCTCCCAAACCATAACCATAGTTATTGTAGTTGAGAGATGAGACCAATGGTCGGTGGGTGTAATCGTTGAGACCGGGAAGGGTGGAGAAGACAC